ACACAGACACACACACAGACAACCCCTCGTCAGTATGCGTTTTCTGCATTGCATAGCTGCAAAAAAACGCATAAAAAGATTAGTTGCGCTCGCTGCTCTCATTTGCCCAAGAAACTGCATTAATGTCGGCTGGGGAAGGAGGCGCAGTAGTGCATACTGTTTTTCCTGCGCAGACTTTGCTTGATTGGTTCTGCTGTTGGCCTTCACATTGCCTCCGAGCACACAGAGCGTCTAAATTTCTGTAGCTTGACATATGTAGGGTGCTTGATAGGCGAGTAAATGCTAAAGTCAGCGTCATGGAGCTCATTTTGTTGACTGCCGATGGATGTTGCACACCAGCAGCGGATGCTCACGAGAAAATGAGTATCCCCTGGTGACCTCTGAGGGGATGGTACATGTACATTTTGGAAGAATTTAAGGGCGGATGGGGAAAGATTATCCGGCCAGGGGAGTGCACTCTAGCTGCGCTTACTTGTGACTGCGTTTCAACAACACCATCTCTGCCCGGCTTTCCTCAGGTATTGCTGATTGTGAATTCTCAACAAGGCAAGCTTCTTACTTGAATTTATGCACTTTTAAACATCTTCAACGTGCCGTTTAAGTTGTACGATGCGATTCAGTCTTCCATGGCCTGTGTATTTCAACTTTTGCTTAGCGTAGTGCCCTAAGTGGGCTGTGAATGCAAAGTAACCGAAGGGAATTATTTTTCGGTACACTTTTTGGAGCATCACATGTACTAACTTTAAACTTATTGGCTGGCTGGCAAACAGTACTGCTTTTTTGTTCAGGATAATGAACCAAAGGAAACATTGGTTGTGTACAATGGTACAAATGCAAGCGCATTTTTATTGTCCATTATCAGCCAGGGCCTTCGTGGAGATGCTCGCAAACGCCTGACTCTTTTACCAACTGTTAGTTTTATTGCAAAGTTGTCGTTAAATGGTTTTCATTCGTTATATTGGTACACTGCCTGATTTTTCCGCGCGCATATTTTTAATTTCACTTTTGTTAATGAACTCCGTTACATTCCGTTGCGGGATCTGCAGATTTAACTCTTCATATATAACGAAAGCGCTAGAGGTCTTATTTGTGGGAGGGCAAAAGATCAGTTGACGGCTTCGGAAGGGATGATGTAGTGCGAGATAGCATGATGGCTAGGGACAAGCAGCTGAGGATAAATGGATCTGGCCTAGCTGCGACGGATGCCGGGATTCGTATCGGAGCGTGGTGCTCTTGATAATGCAACTTCTTTGACGTATAATAGTTTAGCTTCTCAAAGTCTGGCCTGGGAAGAATTCCGGGACCCTGAATCACAGATTTGCGTTGACGGTAATTTGGCTGTACTATTTTTGCAGTGTTGGAGTAAAGTGCAGTGGTACTTATTTTTGTTTTTATGCCAATTTGAAAAATTAACCTGCTCTGTACATCCAGGTAATGGTGTTTTTTACGGAAACAGACAAATTCGTCATTGATTCACTGAAAGCACAAGCAGAGCGTCATGTCGAACACATCCCTGGTCCGTGGATTTTTGTTCACATTGCAGCAGTTTTCGATGCGCATATTGCTGATCCACGAACGTCCCGTGACGTTTGTGGTATTAATAAAGTAACTCTTTGCACTGGTTGCTGCTATTCGGCAGAGTTAAGCTGGCTGGTTTTCTGTATCCGTACACTTTCAGACCCAGGACTGTGCTATTCGGCCACTTGCTTTGGCAGTGCAGTTGTGCCTGCACTTACTCTCAGCTCCCTTTCTAAACAGCCATTTGCAGAAAGTTTTCTGGAGGCTCCCCAGCTAATGATACTTTCAAGTGCTTATAAGTTGAAATACGGTTTTTGCATAATTAGCGCAAGAGGGAGCGGATCTTGGCCAATTTTACGTGTTTTTTGATTCAGCGCAGGAAGTGTCACTCCTAGTAAATTTTCTTCAACGTTTATTGAACATGCTTAAGGGTTTTTTTTTTAATGAAATCCGCGAGCAGATCGGTAGTCTTTTGCGCCTTAAAAATGCTCCTCCCGATATAGGAAAATGCTTCTGGCTTCTCATCCATCTAAGATGTTGAGTGGGAGTAGGGGGAGAGGGAGGGGCAGCAGGAGAGGGGGTGAGGGAGCAAAGTCGGGGGGAGGGGAGAATGCACGGTTAATCTAGTTAATTAATTGAAGCTAACCCTTGGTATCGAAATATGATTGAAAACACCAGGCACTGAAACTTGCATATACCAAAAAGTGTCGTTTTTAGTATAGCCTTTTTCTCCTGCATTGTATACTTTGTAAGGGTTGAAGACGCTGTCTCTGTGTGTGTGTGTGTGTGTGTGTGTG